GCGACCAATCTTTAAAAAGGGTTGTAAGGGTGTTGTATCAAATTACTGACCCATAACTTTGTTACCCATTATCGACAAAATAGTGGAGAAATACATTTGTGAACAGATTTATAACTTAATATACTAAGTAAGAACCTTAGTATGGGTTCCAATCCGGTAATAGTACCACAACTTTACTGAAAGCATAAGATCAATAGTTATTTAACTGAAAAAAAAAATCACGTCTTAGTAGTATTTATTGATCTTTCCCGCGATTTTGATACGCTTGATCATAAAAAAAAACTAACAACCAAGCTAGAAAGTACTGGAATCCGAGGTGTAATACTAAACTGGTGTCAAGACTATCTTAAAGACAGAACTTATAGAGTAAAAATAGAAGTAAGCCCGTATTGGTCCCGACAGGTACAGCAAAGGGTTCGGTGATCGGTTCACTCCACTTTTTGGCTTACGTTAACGACATGACTAATGTGCTTAAATACTGTAACTATTATTAATTTGCGGATGACACGTGTATCATATCTGCTGCAAAAGATCCACAAGTAGCATTAAATAATTTGCAATGCGACTTCAACAACTTAAATAAATGGTGTCATGACTCAGGCCTGGTATAGAATACAGCTGAAACTAAGATACTACACATAAGATCTTATGTGTAGTATCTTAGTTTAAGATTATATAAGAGAGAAAAGTACATCGAACAATCTTATAGTTCATAATCACAGTTGCCCTTATAATTCGAGTTACCTTACCTGTAGGTATCCACAGATAAAAACAGTAGATTCTCACATATACCTTGGATTAGTGATCGATAGTATATTTAACTGGGGACCCCAAGTTGAGCGAGTACGTGACAAATTGCGAACGTTCCTCGCAAACTTAAGAATCATCTAAAAACAATGACTTTAAGGACTTGATTAGCATTATATAACGCGTTTACTAATTCTATAGTCAGCTATAGCCTCTCCAGTTTCGAACTTTCAAAACAGATATGAATATATTAAAGTAGATATATTAAAATCTTCAAATAAGAATATTAAAACCAATGGTCTCGCCTAACATAAAACAACACTTTTCGTTAAATTAAATACAATTATTTAAATATTGCAACGTACTACTCATGCACGTCCAGTTTATATTCCAACCTCTTAAGGTTTTTTTTTTAAAATAATTTTATTAATATAAATATTGTACATGATAAGGGTACTCGGGCAACCACTCGCGGCATGTTGGTCACGACAGCAGCGCAGTACACGTACGCCAGACGCACTGCTGTATACTTGATTCCTAGAATTATAAATAAATTGACTTGAAAAAAAAAAATTAAAAAGCTCTATTATTGGAAAAAAAAAGTAATATAAAAAACAAACTAAAAATGCTTCTAGTGAGTTCTTTGCATATCAAAGATCACATAGTTATATGAATAGGTATAGGTACTTTTTTTAAGCATAGCCAACTCACACACAGCAACTAAGCCTCAGTGGTTTGCGCTGTGTTTAATGTGTATTACTAATTGTAGAATTTCGTGTGATGGGTATTAAAAAATACAAACATAATATTAGTCTTGATTATGAAGCAATGTACTTTAAAATATCTTTGACTTTCATGTAAATTATTGTCTTTGCTGGTACTATAATAGATTTAGCTTATTTTCTATTGTAAATCTTCATTTATTCGAGCAAGTTATTAGTCTTTTTCAAATTGCGAACCCAATCAATATGAAAACCAGCTTCTTTTCTCACTAATTTGGACTTTAGCTTATTTTCCATGTAGATTATAAATGAATTGGTAACCAGCCATATCACGATGGGTAAATAACAAAGATTACCTCTTAGTATCAGCCTACATAATATGTCGAAATGCTGGTTACAGATCTCCTCTAGTTTCTATAAGGTTTAACAGGAACAATGGGGTACAATTAAATAACATATCTTTATTTAGCTTAGCCAAGCTGACTTTTTACAATCTTAAACGCTAATAGCTATAAAAATGGATGGGATGGACATATTTTTTTATCTACACTACTATACTATTTTACTATTACTATTATAAAGAGGAAAGATTTGTTTGTTTGTTTGTTTGAATTGAATAGGCTCCGAAACTACTAGACCGATTTGAAAAATTCTTTTACTATTAGAATCCTACATTATCCCTGATGAACATAGGCTATATAATATTTTCAAAAAGTTAGGGATCCGTATGAAAACTTCGTTAATGTAATCCAATGTGTATAAAAAATACCAAAAAGCATCCTTATATCGCTTACGCTGCGGAAACTATTGATAGTAGAGCAAAGTGATGTACTACAGTTTATAGAGGATATCAATATCTACAAAAAAGTCTGCGATAGCATAAGTTTAACTATTACAGTTATGTCACAATAACTACTTTTTCATGTTAAAATGTGAAATAGTAACGCCGGTACCAACTAGGCCACATTATTCGTATCAGTACCTGTATCATGCATAACCACCAATTACGTTAACCATGTAATTTTAGTAACATATTTCACTTTTTAAATCTTTGTTAATTCAGCAACCGTCCGTCATGATGTTTCTCTCGAAGTTCGCATGTCGCAAGGCGCAGACGCGTGATATACGCGGGTGAAACCGCGAGGCACAGCTAGTACTATATATTATATTATTAATATTACGGCCGTGGCGTGATTGGAAATCAATCAGCCGCGCTCCTGCTACCAGAAATGTACACACCCCTAGCTGTCCCGACAAAGATCGATCACTCAGGGGCCCATAGCTGTAGACTCGACGAACAACTAAGGACGGGGCCGAATGGCCTGGTGGAAATGTTCTATCCTACTTCACTTTAAGGGGAAGGCTAGATTAGAATAAGGTTGCAAAACGAGCACACAGTCCACGTGTACAAGTACAGTGTTGTACTTGTACTGTGTACTACAAAGTACAAGTGGTCAGTGGATGCTGTGGCCCATAGACATCTACATAATATAATATCATTGACTAAGAATCAAAATGCAAATACGGTTCCACTCCTGAGGACTAAGATGGAATTCCTCGTTTCCAGTAAAAAGGGTCTCCGGTTCTGTAGACTTACCACACGAAACACAGCAGCATTCAGCAACTATTTTACGCTGGTATTCTGCGAGAGCGTGGTCCTTCCCCGGTTGAGTCGACCCAATAGTACTACAATTAGAATATAGCTGCAGTATAACTCTACCACGTATATATATATATATATATATATATATATAAGATGTACAGCAGCATTAAGCCGCTATTTCACGCTTATATTTTGTGAGAACTACGTATGGATAAATGATAAATTGTTCATTCAAATATTTTTTTGCTGAAATTTGACAAATTACTTTCACACGAGGAAAGGGTATGATGAACGATAATGGAGTTAACAAATGATTGCTTCACATCGGGCCTTTTTTACGTAATTGGTATTGATGAGATTATTTTGAATAAATACAATTATTCAAGAGTATGTAATTAATGTATTTGTACATAATAATATGAACTCCATTCAGTCTAGGTGTCTGGACGGGACAACATCTGGTGATGGTCTCTCTTAATCCTTCACCACACGGCAATTATGTACCTTGATACATAGAAATGTAACTAGGTACGTTATAAGTACTACTTCATTTTAAAAATAGTGTCTCGTAGGCCATATAAAGCGGTCAGTATGTATAATATAGTCGTAATATTGTACGGGTGATGGAATTTGTCTTTTTCACATGGATTTATTTATTGAACTATAAATAAAGGTATTCCAGACCGGATTACGGTCACGGCAGCCAGTCTCGGAGACTAGCCATCTGCACAGGACAGGATCACAGTGCCGACGTGTTATGCGCAATCACAGGTGCACTCTTTATTCCCTCACGCTCACAGTCTGATGGGCAGGTAATCCGTCATCATCAAGATCAGGCACAGTAGTAACTACTTTAAGTGCTTCTCTTCTTCTTTATGTGATCGAGGCACGGGGGTGAAAAATCACCAACTTCCTGACTTACAGCTAGCTTCCAACAATACACATGCGTGCAACTGAACAATAAGGAATGCCTTAAATCGTGTAACTGTTCGCATTGCTATTTGGTGCCAGAAATAGCTAAACATGATTATTACCACCTAGTAAATATTACTTGATTGTATGAAAACCGATTTTGACAGTGAAATTATATTATAATGCTCATGACTTAAAAATGTAATGACTTGATTAAATCAACAGGAAACAAAGGCTAATGCATTGAAATAATAAGTGTGGATATATCCGCTCGGCCTTTGCAAAAGTCTCGTCTGGTCACATTTGAATTATTGCGACTTAGTATATTATGGCCCTTGTCTCTCACAGAAAACTATAGAAAGAATACAAAGGGTTCAAAATTCACGTATGCGTTATTGTTTTGACATACCGTAAAATGGGGTGAATAGAAATCGCGGGGTGAATAGACACAAGTCTGGTTATTTGGTAAAGTTGGGTCAAAGAAAAAGTTGGGTAAAGTCAACAGAAAGTCAATAACGATAGTATCGAATGTTTACATTGCTATAATACATAAATTGCACCACGCTTACATATCAAAATCCACTTCAAACCATTATTTAACAATAAAACAGAGCAGCAAATCAGCGGTAGTGAAGTTCCTGACAAAACTCCAACTTTTTTATATGATAGGGTAACAAACGAGCACACAGTCCACCTGAAGATAAGTGTTTGCTGTGATCCATAGACATCCACATCTATCCTCAATAAAGACTCAAGATGCAGATGCGTTGTCACCCGTGAGGACTAAGATGGAATGCCTCTTTTCCAGTAAAAAGGGTCTCCGGTTCTCTACACTCACCATACGAAACACAGCAGTATTAAGCTGCTATTTTACGCTGGTATTCTGTGATACCCCATTTAGACTCTCGCCTCGCGCCTAGCCTCGTACCTCGCCTCGCAGCTCGCGTGTTGTTGCGAGGTAACGAGTGCCGGTTTACACTCTCGCGATGCGTTCAGTTTGCGTTGAGCCAGCAACGATGGAAGACGTCGAAATAATAGCGGCATCAACGCTTGCCTTAATAAATATTTATCGATGCTTGACCATTTTCAAAAGAAGGAAATTAAAAAAAAGACGTCGTCGAAGAAGAAGATGGTGGATAATATCTATTCATCGAAACAGAACCTTGTGAGTTTCATAATTTTATATAAATTGCTAGTAACTATTGTGCAAGATTAAATAATATTATTTTTTTATGTTATATTATCGTTATTTATTAATAATTTAATCTTTCCTTTTTACTTTTAGGCAAAGTATGGAAAATATGTTTCAAGAAATGCTAAATGAAGACTGTGGAGAGTTTCGCAATTTTTGTAGAATGTCACCAACTGATTTTGAATTTCTCTTAAAGAAAGTAGAACCTTTGATTACCAAACAAAATACTAGACTGAGACTATCCATCCCAGCAAAAGTTCGTTTGGCTATAACTTTACGATTTTTAGCTACAGGTGATAGCTACAAAAGTCTTCACTTCTTATTCAAGATGTCATGTTCAGCCATATCAATAATAGTGCATGAAGTCTGCAATGCTATTAACATAGTATTAAAGAATGAGATAAAGGTAAGAAATAAAAGAAGTAATTCAAAATTTATGTTTAAAAAATAATATAATCCTTTACTCATACAATCAAATGCTACATTTATCATTTGAAATATTCAAACAATTAACAATAATTTTTCAACACACTTGCTGGTAATGGTAATTTGTCTCTTATTCGATTGATTTTAGTGTTGTGATGTGAAGGCTCCGTGGCGCAGTGGCTTAGCAATGAGATGCTGCGCTGGGGGCCGCGGGTTCGAATCCCGCACGGAACAAGTATTTGTATGGCCTGCAAATAATTGTTCCGCGTCTGGATGTTTGTCCTTGTGCAATTTGTGTTTGTAAATTGCCTCCACGATACAGGAGAAAAACTTAAAAAAAAGAAGAAGAAAAAAGAATGTAGCTTATTACGCACTAGTATGGATTTTTAAATATCAGCTGTTTGCAGCAAATGTCAAATTATACTTTTTATTTCACCTATGAAATAATATAATCAAAATAAAAATTTAATACACTATGATCATCGAAAATTTTCTTAATTAACAAAGAGGTTTTATTAAATTAACAGTTAATTGCCCGTCTTTATTTATTGAACAGCTGACCCCGGCTGATTATTACACTTATTTATCATAATGTATTAATCTTTGTCATCTATTGCGGCGTTATATGATTGATTTATAATTTGTGATGGTTGTATTATTTGCTGTGATAGGATTCTTACTCGATTTTCTGGTGCAATAGATGATGGACGCGGTTCTATTAAATACGAGTAGGCCGCTTCATGAGATAAGGGACGATCTGGTATGGAAATTTGGATAGGCGATTGAGGTTGTAGGAAAAATCTGTTGTGGGAAGCAGGTCGATCTTGAGCAGAAATATGTACAGGTGATTGTGGCGATTGGAACATACAGCGATATGAACCAGAGGAAGACGTGATGGAAGATGTCGGTGAGCACATGTTATCGTTCTGTAGATTCTGCGGTGGATTGGCTAGTAGAAACCCATCGATGCCGTGCATAATTCGACGGCGTTCCATTTTTGTATATTCACGAAGGCGTGTAGCCAATATTTTGGCATACATATCACATTCGTCGTCTATTTTATTTTTATTTGCCACTAAATTGTTTATACAAGACACAGTTTCCTTGATGTCTTTTTGTAGATAGGTATATCTGTGTTTTTACGCTTTGCTGATTTTTTTAAAGGGGATTTGAATTTTTTTTTCACTTTCTTCAGTTTGATTCACCGATTGACTATTTTCTTTATTCTCTTTTGCTGTCTCTTCCTTTTCTGTCACCGGTGAATTTATCTGAAAAAACAATGAATTAATTACATATTATATATAATTCATCTTTCTTTCAGATGCCACAAAATGCAGAAGAATGGTTAGCCATAGAAATGGGATTCAAGAGAAAATTTCCACATTGTGTGGGTTGTATTGACGGCAAACATATTGTGATACAATGTCCACCCAAAAGTGGCTCCGAATATTACAATTACAAAGGGACATTTAGTTTTGTGCTTTTAGCTTTAGTTGATAGCGATTACTGTTTTATATTTGCTGATGTCGGGGCTCAAGGAAAAATAAGCGATGGCGGTGTATTTCAAAATAGTGCACTTTGGGAAAAAATTTGCTCGCAAACAATTAATTTGCCACATGATAGCCCACTGCCTGGCAGGCAATGTAATGTACCATACGTTTTTCTTGGAGATGGGGCATTTGCATTGAGCAAGCACGTAATGAAACCATATCCAGGAAACCATAACATTGGTTCACTTCAACGGACGTTTAACCAACAATTATCTAGTACACGTGTTATTGTGGAGAATGTATTTGGTGTACTAACCTCAGTTTTTAGAATATTTAAAAAACCCATGGAAGTACAAAAGGACAGGGCCATATTAATTACCATGACCTGCGTTTTGTTACACAATTTTCTTAGGAACAGTAAAACATCTAGGATCATTTATACGCCTCCTGGAACTTTCGACACCATTATTGACGGTGTCTTAATTAAAGAAGGGCCATGGAGGCAAAATCAGCCTTCAAATTCAGGTGTACGACTCATACAAATTGTGGGTAGACGTGAATCACAAAACGCCATTGATTTAAGAACTGAATTCGCTACCTACTTTATTCAAAATAATAGAATTAATTAATTTTTGCGGGTAGTGGAAATTAAATATTTAATTTACTATTGACCTTTTGAACGCATTTAACCACTATATAACGTATTCCTTTTGATATCCCATAACTTTAGGATATTAATCATAACATGTAATAGAATAGTATATAAATGTATTCTTAAAAAATATAATTTTTTTTAGTCGCCGAAAGGTTAAGAAACACAATAACACAACAGTTGTAACAGTAGGTACTTATAATATTTGTGATTGAAAATATCATAGAATTATGAAAATATAAATAGCAATGTAAAACATTAATAAAAGTTACAAAAGATTACAATTGTTTTATTTACTTACGGGTTCGTCTTCAGTACTTATTGTATGGCCACATTTATAAACACGTGCCAAAAAAATTTCCATAATTTCATAGTATACCTATATTGGATTATAAATGTCATCAATAGATGCGCCAGATTTAACAGACTGCTTTTTTCTTCGAAGGTGTTGACGAAAGGTAGCCATAAGCGAATTCTTTTTTACTTTGAGCTCTGCTAGTGGTCTGCACATAACCTCGGAAATTCTATTCCACGCATCATTTACTTTTTGGGTATTTTTATGCATAATATGTTTTGGATCCTAAATTATTCGCTCAGCCTAATAGAGTTCCAAGAACTGCAACGTTTCTTCTTGCGACCAGTCCATTTTGAATTTAAGTCGAACGTGTAAAGCCAACAAAACAACACAACATGCACGGAAGGGCGCCGTAAACAAACTGAAACGAGAGCGCGAGTGTAAGCAGCACGCTCGCGTCCCTCGCGAGGCCCTTTGCCTCGTGCCCAAAAAACCGCCTCCGACGCGAGCGCTGCGAGTGGCGAGGCGAGCTGCGAGGCGAGCCACGAGCTAACGTTTACACTCGCGCCTCGCGGCTCGCCTCGCGCCTCGCGGCTCGCCTCGCGACTCGCCTCGTCGCTCGCGCGAGAGTGTAAATGGGGTATAAGAGCGAGGTCCTTCCCCGGTCGAGCCGACCTATTCGTGCTACAACTATACTACTAATATAGCAGCAACATGGCTCTACCACGTAATAAACCTAGTATTTAACTTAAATATTTGTTTCATTTAGCTTGTATGTGCCAAAAAAGATAAGCAAATACGATGGCTAATATTATTTTGTTGACGATATTTAAAAGAATAATCTCGGACTCTCTACTTTCTCTACTTTTGATCGTCTGCAACATTTTAAGTTCCAAATATATTGAAGAAAAAATGAGACTTAAAAAAAAGGACTGGTTTTAAATAAATGCTTATTTATATAGAGCTACGCTGCAGTTATTTTATGATTGTAGTACGAATGGATCTGCTCGACCAGGGTAGGACCACGCTCTCACAGAATACCAGCGTAAAATAGCAGCTTAATGCTGCTGTTTTTCAAAGGTAAGTGAAAAGAACCGGAAACGATAACTCATCTGCATTTAGATTCTTAATCAAGGAACATCAGGTGGACTGTTAGCTCGCTTGTCACCCTTATTCTATAAAAAAATCTGGTAGCATTTTTTTGTAGAGTATTATTTTCTATCTCTGTTATTTTAGCACCTAAAATATAATCTAAACCTTGTTTCTTATTGGAAAATATTATTTGTAGAAAATGGACCAACAGTTCGAAACACACTCAGCATCAATAATACTTTTTTGCTAGCAAAATTTAGCACAGCATATTTTTATAGACCTTCAAAATTAGCATATAACAAAGAGGTATTTGTAAGAATAAAAATATATTATAAGGGTTTAATTTTAATTGTCTTGCATTTATCACGGGGAGTGCTCTGAGGAATTGTTCGGACTAATTCCAGCAGCTCAATTTCACCATCGCACATCGCGACAAAACTTGCGATACCATCCATACCACCTGGATGATTGGCGGTCCACCACTGTGCGATTTAGAACATGTTTTCTTCCTCGCACGACTTCCTTGTGGAATCGATTACCACCAGCGATTTTTCCGGACCGATACGACTTAGGGACCTTCAAGAAAAGAGACTACTCCTTTTTAAAAGGCCGACAACGCATCTGCAATTCCCCTGGTGTTGCGGTTGTTCATGGGCGGCGGTAGTCGCTTACCATCAGGTGAGCCGCATGCTCGTTTGCACCCTCTTCTATAAAAAAAGAGCAATCACGTGCCGATATTTTTACATTTTTTGTAATAAAAATACAAAATCAGACATTTAAAAATACAATTTAATTTCTTATCGCAAATAGACAATAAAACAGTGTTCTACTGCGTAAACAGCTCTAGCAGCTGTATTGTTAAGGACGCTAAAGAATATAGAATGCTTAAGGTACTTCTCTTAAGTGAACTAGGATCTATAGTCGCTCGAATGTAAATAGAAACAATAAATAAATTTTAAGTAGCTATAAAGTGTGGCGACAACGAATAAAAAGAGAAAGAGTATATAAAAGTGCATTGCTTTTTATTAATGTGATATCTACATACTTCAGCATAAAGAAAGTGGAATTGTAAAAATTAAATAATAATATGTTTAATAAATGAATCCCTTTTTAAAAGGTCTGCAACGCAACTGCAATTCCCTTAGTGTTGTTCTTGGGTAGCATTCGTCACTTACCTTCAGGTGAGCAGCAAACTCATGTCCCACTCTTTTATAAAAAAATAGTAATAATTATTTTATCAAAATGCAGGTGCCAATCTCCGAAACAGGCGAAAATTTCAGGGTGCAAAATCAGGTCTATATTATGGTGGATGCATTGACATATCCCAACCAAGCTCTCTCAATTTTTCTGTGGCCAAATATGTGTGTGGTATGGCGTTAACATGATTAAATACCACTCCTTTTTTGTTGAACAATTCCGGCCGCTTTTTCTCAATTTCTTGCTTCCCATTAGTTATTGGCAGTAGAGATCCAATTCGAAGGTTTTTCCCGGTGGTTAAAGCTCATAATAAACGATGCCCTTTCAATCCCACCATATACACAGCATATCCTTATTGCGGTTTAATCTGGGTTTCGCTACATTCTGTGGAGGTTGACTCGATGATGATTGAGCTCGTGTGGTACCAAAACATTGAGCTTTTTTGACTAGCCAGACTTTTTCAAATGGGTCAAAACTGTTTTGTGGTCAATTCTCGATTCCGCGGCAATGTTGAAACTACTATAATGCTGATCTTGTTCCATTTTTTTTCCAAAATGGCATCAACTTTATCCGTATGAGGGCCACCAGAGCGAGCTGTATCTTTGACAACGAAATTCCCGGACTGAAAACGCTTGAACCAACTTTGTGCTATTCAACTGGCATTATATTAGGTCCATAAACGTCACACATTTTTTCGCGGTTTGAGTCGCATTTTTTTTTGTAATAAATCTTCAGAATGAATCGAATTTCTTCGATAGATTCACTAATTTTGGCGGACAAAAAACAATTGAAAATCGGCTTGGAAATATTTTTTACTTTTTATTTTTCTTTTCCTTAATGTCCTATATGTATTGATATTAAAACTAAACAGATACAAATATTACATCCAAAGAGATTTTTCTTCAATTTTATATAAATAAAGTACGAAGAAACTTTTTCCCCGACCTTTTATTATTACTTTTTTACATTTATCTTTAAAAGGGAATGAAAGTGAACGCAGTAAATAGAGTGAATGGAGCTCTATACTCTATTGCGGAAAGTCAGAATGTTTCAAAAAGGCATTTGTGGTAATTCATAACGCTGTGTTAGTCCCTACTTTAATGAATGTTAGTGAAAGTTGGGTGTGGCAGAAGAAGCACGAGAGTAGAATAAATGCTGTAGAAGTGAGTTCATTAAGGAGTATGTTAGGACTGAATCTGAATGACAGGATGAGAAATTGTGTGATAAGAGATAATGTGGCCGTCCCCTTGAAGATGGTATTCCCTTACCAGAAACGAGGTCTCTGAGGTTGCAGGCTTTTGGGGCGGTGGCCTCCAATGCCAAGTAATGTAATCCCCGAGGACGACGATGGCTCTGAAGTGTTCCTGAGACACCGTGATAGCACTGCGAGGGTGCTAGGGGCATTAAGAACTGCCCCCGGGTCGTGATTCCAACAAAGCAAAGCGAAAGAGCGACAACGATTGCCTTCCGAAAGGGACTTCTCGTACACGATGATGGAGACCACCGTGGGGTTTTAACCGGTAGGAGCCCGACATAACCTATCGGTTGCCCCCGCAGCAGTGAGCAGTTCCTTACCAAAAAAAAAGACAAAGGTTTATCGACCAAATTGGCGATATATTGAAAATGGGCCAGAGTACTCCTACCCTTAACCGACGAGCATGTATGCGTAGATATATGGATGGAAGTCCGTAGTCTCTGCTTACCCCTCTGGGTGACAGGCGTGAGTGTTTATGTGTGTATGCAATATATATTTATACGTGGTAGAGCCATGCTGCAGCTATATTACTGTTATAGTTGTAGCACGAATGGGCCGGCTCGACCGGGGAAGGACCACGCTCTCACAGAATACCAGCGTAAAATGGCAGCTTAATGCTGCTGTGTTTCGTATGGTGAGTGTAGAGAACTGGAGACCCTTTTTACTGGAAAAGAGGCATTCCATCTTAGTCCTCACGGGTGACAACGCATCTGCATTTTGATTCGTAATCGAGGATAGATGCAGATGTCTATGGGCCACAGCAACCACTTACCATCAGGTGGACTGTGTGCTCGTTTGTCACCCTTATCATATAAAAAGAAAAAGCACGAATGGGTCGGCTCGACCGGGGAAGGACCACGCTCTCACAGAATACCAGCGTAAAATAGCAGATTAAAACTGCTGTGTTTCGTATGGTGAGTGTAGAGAACCGGATACCATTTTTACTGGAAAAGAGGCATACCATCTTAGTCTTCATGGGTGACAATGCATCTGCATTTTGATTCGCAAATAAGGATAGATGTAGATGTCTATGGGTCGCAGCAACCACTTACCATCAGGTGGACTGTGTGCACGCTTGTCACGCTATACTATTAAAAAATATGTTTATTTTTACATTTTGTGCTGCATGCATAAACTG